TTGTTGGTAGGGTGTCAGTGGGTTGTTGGTAGGGTATCTATGGGTTATTGGTAGGGTGTCATTGGGTCGTTGGTATTTAGGTTGTCAATAGATTGTAGGATCTTTTCGTTTATTAAAGCTGTGCTGTGTGTAATAAAAATTTGCTCTATTTATTTGAAAACAGTTTTTGTACACGATCACAAATAATTTTTTTGGTGCAAGAAAAAGTTGTACAGACTGTGCAAGAAAGAAAGTTCAGGGGTAAGGCAGAACTAGTAAAAGAAGATTACAGATAAGTACATACCAGATGAGTAAAGATGGAGTTCATAAATCAATGATGTAAAAATCTTTTTAGTAGATTTTACTACAGAGTAACTGGTTTCTATGCTTTGTTTATATCTTATAGTTCAGTTCAGTAGAAAGTATAAGAAAAGTATATTTCAAACTTAAACTCTTTGTCATCTTCGCCACATGTTCAAACAGTCCTTGCTTGTTGTTTGTTTTTAAAACAGTCCTCGTTTATAATTTATTCACCTTGATGTACACTTGTCGTCCAGTGCCAGGCTGTGCAAAGTGCAGCAATAAGATTCAAAGTTTAACTATTAGTGCATGCTTATATTGCTGTTTATAGTACATAAAGTTCATATCTTTTAATATAATTCAGTTTTTCATGGATTTAATTTGGTATTTTAGGATTATTTCAATGCCTAACGTTAATAGGTATAATGAAAATAAATAAAATCATTTAACAGAAAAAAATTATTTTAAAAGTAACCAATGCCAATTTTATTTATGTATTTTTGGGATCAAAGAATTGAATAATGGAAATAGAAGTTCTGAGAGGAAAAAAAGATTGGAAAAATGAGAAAAAAGATATAAAATGTGCAAAATAAGAAAGTGAAAAGAATGAAAACACAACACAAAAAATCCTACAAAATACACAACATACAAAGAAACTAACCATTACACAAACAAAAAATAGCAAATAATAAAGTATTCAACACAATACAAAAAAAACTACAAAATACACAACATATAAAGAAACTAAACATTACATAAACAAAAATAACAAATAATAAAAATATTCATGACCCAGTCCAAGTTGATAGCTATGACAAYGGAAATGGGTAAAAAATGGGGAGAAATGACTTGAAACAAGTTAAAATAAGARTTTGCATTTTTTCCCACACAAATCTGTAGATTAATGCAAACTCAATTTTTGACTTGTTTTTGTCTTGCTTTCTGTGCTGCCATAGGAACCTGCCAGTCCTCTAGGTGTGGCATAATGACAAAATGGAGTGAACCAAGACAGCTGGTAACACCCAGGCCCATTTTTTTGTTACAATAAAAAAAAACCATTGACTGTGCACTGTTACCAACCTGCTGGAAGGATTGCTGTATAGTGATTTCCTTTTTCCTTTGAAAGAGAATTAACAAATAAAGTTAATGTTTTAACTTCACCTAAGTGTGAGGCAAGGGCACTACCACTGCACAACCTTAAATTTGCAATCCTTAAGAACCACAGCATTCAGAGGTAAAATGTCAAAATGTAAGATAATTAATTACCTTGCTGTGAAGTTGTTTCCAGCAAGATTCAGATGCATCAGGTTTTGTACACATCCCCTCATTAATGCTCCAAACAGCTGAAATAAGAAATGCAACATATAGGGTTCATGATAAATTGTCCCTAATGTTATGCTGTAAGATTAGCATTAAATCGCCAGYGGCTTTTAAATCTGTGGCCATTGTTCCATAATCAATTTTTGTGGAGGGAGAAAAACCTAACTACTACTATCCTATCACAAAATAAGATGTCCATATTTCTGTGTTATCACTTTTTTCCACTTCCTCCTCCAAATCGTTACTTTTAAGCTTGTGTGAGTTTTACTGCACCTGAATAGACCTTTCCCGCRATAGCAAACATGGTGCATGCTGGGATGCATTGGGTACAAACATTTTTTGTTAATCATGTGTATACTCAGGTAGACCAGGATGCACCATGTTTGTTGAAATTATAAAAGGACTATATGCATTGGGGGCCTTGAATGGTACATGTATATTTTGAACKCCCATTATTTTGAGCCTTTTCCCTGTTCCCCAGGAGGTTTGAGATAACGAGACTCTACAAGGATAAAAAAATAATAATCTAAAACAGTTTTATTACCAGATCCAGAGAGATGTCAGTGTAGGACAGATCCAAGTGTGTTAGGGCATTAGGTTGCGCAAGGAATTCAGAAAGAGCCTGACAAGAGACAAAAAACAGGATGTAAATAGCATGGCACGATCCTTGACTATACAGCTGTAAATTCATTTGAATGCCCTGAATTAGCCTTGTTTAAGAGTTGGTAAAATTAAAAATATATAACGATACCATTGTTTTGATAAYCTACAGACTTTCGATGGTATATATGACAGTGGTAAATCCAGAACAATTTCAACTGGGCACAATTATATGGATGTTGCACACAAAAACATCTGAAATCAGCATGGTCGAAATAACTTTTCTAAACTTTTTCAAACTTGACCAAGAAACACAGCTCCAAATTCTTCAAAAGCCTATGTTTTTTACTTTTTTCCGATTTTCAAAATTTTGGCRGGAAAAAGTTCTCACAAATTTGGCACCAACATTTGAAATTGATGGACCTTCATAACGCGTTGGCCATGTTTATTCTCATGAGAAAACAATCTTTGTTTAACCCGCATAAATTTATTTTCAAGTACTTGAATGCAAGGGTATGAGGGAAACTATTGATCAAACCAACATATATGGCTGCTCCTTGAAAGAGGACCACTGAATTCTCAAAAAAATCTAATCAAAAATATGATTTTTTAAAAACTTCCATTTCCACCATTTTGTTTGTTCAGTTTTCCGCTATTTTTGAGGTACAATTTTACAAAGTCATGACACAGATATGACACTTACTGTTATTCCCTCAGGTTTCAGTGGATTCTTAGAAAGATTTAATCTTCAAAATAAAAAGATTTGAAATTATTCAATGAGAAAGAAAATCCTTATTTACATTAATYCTACGTAAAAAAGAGTGTATATTTGATTCCCATAATTCAGATGAAGAAATAAATGAAATGATAATTGATCATGAAAAGCTGACTAATTGCT